TGTGAGCAGTTACAATAAAATGTGTGAGAAAGGAACAACCATATAATCTATTAATTCTTAGTGAGTAGTCCCTGTCTCTGATAACAAGACAATAAAGCAGATTATGATGAGTAATGGCGAACAGACTGGTAGATAAATGGGTAATTTGGTAATGATTAGTTCATAACTGTCCAGTAGGAAGAGTTGATTAGTGGCACAAACTACTAGTAACCACTCATTCATTAATAATTATTTGGTCTTTAGTTACTTATTTTGTGCAGCCCCAAGAGAAGATCAAACTGATGAGAGACTAAGTATTCCCTCAATTCTTCCTTATTATCTGACCATTGCTTACTCTTTGTGTGAGTAAAGCATCATTATACAATACTAAGAATAATAAACACAGTTTCTTACTGAATAAATAAAAACAAATCATTAAGAAGACATACATAAATGTAAAACACTTTTTTTAAAAGCTCAACTGGGCTTAACAAGGCGTAAGACTGAGCAGGACATCCATTTGTAAAAAGATGATAACGTGTGTGCTTTGCATATTAGCTACTTTGGGTGTACATGTTAAAGGACACCGCTGGCAGATGATTATGCTCGATGATACGATAACTAATATACTGATTATATAATGATTATCAACGGATTCATCCTTCAGTGAGTGTGGGCTGTCTCATCTCTTGATACTGCTTTGAGCTGCAGCCAATATCCAGTAACTAAGCCAGTCATTCCCGCTCCTTCACCATTTTTTTTCATGCAGTTGAAGCGGCTTAAAGAGTGTGATTAGGGTGAAGCATGCTTCGAATTATTTTAATTTACCACACATACAGGGTTGAACCGAGAACCCGAGCCAAAAGTGGCCATGGAAACTAAGAAATCATCGATCTCTACCCCCCATGGGCCGAAGGAAGCCTTGGATCAGAAGTACAGTTGCAGATTAGTGTGGATCAAAGTGGAGATTTAATAGGATGCCAAACACATTGATGTACCTAATGATCAAGTCTGTGTAATGTGATGCTTTAAATCCCAGAGATGTCCTCACTGTGGTGTTTGTAGAATTTCTCTACAATTCTGTGGTTGAATTATGTGATGCACGGCAAGTACAGTGGAAACAGGGAAAAGCAAGAAGGGATATCAAAGAGTAGACGGAGACAAGCTTCCTACGCCACACTACCTGAGGTGGCACTAAGACTGATGGAGCAGAATGGAAAGGAGCGGTGTGTGACACATTCTCCGGCCCACAGACTCACTTCTCCATCTTACCTCTCACAACACACCTGCCTGCATTATTGCATTGCCTCTGAGCCTGGAAGGATATTAGAAGGGATGTCTCATACACTCAAAAACAACATCATGAATAATGAATGTGTGATCTCAAAATAAATAACACACATTATTAATGTATTCAGAGCCTGCTTTAAAAGGGGCAGGTGCCACCGAATGCCCTTTCTCACTCAGTTCCTGATTTAATTATTTCTGGGAGGAACATACAGTAAGACAGAGGAGAGAGTATTGTTATTATTTGTATTTAACAAAATATGAATGACATACTAAAAACCAGAAAACCACAATTTTTTATTTTAATTAAAAGAGCAAGTACCTGAGATGGAATATCCTATGCATATCAAGTTCCAGATTACATCACTTTCATCGCTATGATAACACTTGCATTACATGGAGCTTTGTGCTTATATTTGTAATACGTTATGTTTGGACAAACCTACGCTGTGTTTAAATGTCTCATGTTTTAATCTGTCAGCTAAAACTGAATCTTGGCAGAGCAAACAGCGATGGTAAGTACTCTTAACTTAAGTGTGGTATGTATATTCCTTTTGATCACTGGATGAGACCTACATGGCATGCCCAACATGATTATTACATTATCTAATTGCATCCCAACACATGTATTATTCAGGCCCTGACAACATAATACTCTCAGGGAAAGGAAAAGATCTGTGTGCCTTAAGCTGCATCTGAATGGCACTTTATTGCTTTTTTTCTCCCTTCTGTCAAAACACCAGCTTTTTCGGTGGTTTGCGTTAAGTGACGTTAAAGAGCATGGTGTTCAAAAAACATGATCATTTTAAAGCCTTCACCACTGCTGCGTCTGCAATTCACATTATTAATGTGAAGCAATGCTAATTTTTACATGGATACTGAAAGCATAACCAATAATCTATACAGAAGCATTTAAGCAAGTAAGGCTTTTTACTCGTCCTTGCCACTCCAGAAATAACTGGCCCCTTGAGTCTTGAATGTGTCTTGCCCTTTCCAGGAACAAGGTCACATTGTTTACGATGGCAGCACAACATCTCCTTAACGTTCTCGAAGGACAGACTGATCTTTATTATTGTGATGTTTGAATAGAACTCACATCAGTTAAAATGTAAATTCATGTGTCATGTCAGCTAAAAGGATGTTGAATAATGTATTTTACAATTAACACGTGAATGTATGGTTAAGGTCATGGAGTCCGTCAACAATATGTGTCCCAAAGCTTCACTTTGAAGAAGCAAGTATTTCCACCAGCAAAATCTCAAAAGCTTCATAGATCACTGGAGGTTGTGGCCTCCAGTGATGGTTCCCACTCAGCATATAAGGCCTAAAGTAGTAAGGAATGGTCACCAGAGATCCACAATTGCTGATGGCAAAGTACAGCTTTATATCAAAACCATTAGGCAAGGCTGCATTGAGCAACCTGACATGCATTACGGGAGAGAGCACTCAAAAGTGACCTCAGTAGTTACATGTAAATTACATCAAATTGCTGTAGATTCAAAGGGTTTTAAACAAAAACTTGCTCCACTATCTTGAAGAGAAAAGAGGGTTTGCACATTAATAGGTTTACATTGCTAGCTTGGCTTCAGGAGAGGAAAATATGAGACTAGAAGAATAGAGTGAAAAAAATGACTTATTTAATGATGTCTCCCTTGACTAGAAAGCAAGGGGGCGGTGCTCCTTACTACCAAATGCAGAGGCACAGACTGGCAGGTCGACAGTTATGAAGACAGATGAATGATGCAACGCCTTCAGCACACAGGGAAATTAGATCAGCTGTTGACAGGGCAATGGACAGATCCCTGGTCTGGCATTCAAATGTTTTCTCACATCTACTATGATCTGTGAATGCATCCTCTTCCTAGATTATACATGTTCTCACTCTCCCATCTGCACATGCATCCCTATTTTATTTATTTTTTACTCCATTAAACATGTTGTATAATATGACTGAGTCGAGCAGAATAAGTGCAGTACAGCAGGTTGCCTGAGATAAACGTTTCACAAGCAATAATCTTTCTGAAGACCTGAAATCTCCTGTGTCAGCCTCTGTGCTAAAAACCTGCAATGTGTATTTCATAATTCATAACACACAGCCAGCTTTCATAAATGGGGTCTAAAGTGCTGAAGACTGAGCAAGATTATAACACACCATCTTCTAGGTTGTGAGACTTTTTCCATTTGTGGCTTTTTGGTTACTGGTGTTATCTTCAATATATTATGTAGGCCTATTTCTCCTATTGTACCCTGCAGCATTTTAAAATACAAATACATAGAGTATATGAAATCCTATATAAACAAAACGCAGTCTGTCATGGGAGAGCCACAATCAACCTGAGGCCACTATTATACAGAAAATCAGTCGAAGGCAGTCGGTAGGTGGCAGTCATGTCCCATTTGCAGGAGACACATGGGTGGAATCTATTTTCCCTCCATGCACACACAAACGGGTGCGCACTCAAACGATAATTTGCATTTGTTTGCCCCTATTAAAACGGACCAATGCCTAAGAAGGAGAAAGGTCAGAAATTAATGAGTTAAACTTGGGGTGAGATTTTTGCACACCTGGAGCCCTCGAAGTTCAAACAGAGTGATATGAAGATTAAAAGAGAGGTGCAACAATATTCCCTGCCCTCACCTCTACAATCGCGCGGCTGACGGCGGCGCCGAACAGTCTCACTTGGAGAGAACAGCTTGTCAGTGGGAGGTAACCTACATGATGCCCCACTCGTACACGTATCAATCCATCGTTCGTCCGTGCTGTTGCGCCGTGCGTTTTATTGGGGTACGTAAATGCCGAGCGCACTGAGGTACTGTGAAGCGCACCGATGGACGATGCCTGTGTGCGCGTATTGGAACGGGGTGATTTGTGATCACATCTGAAGCAGCTTAAAACACACTGCAGTGGACAGACAGGAAGACGGGGCTTGGACGAGCAACACACCGTGGATAATAACCCGCTGAGTCATTTCTTACCCCCGTGTGTGTCACATCCATTTAAAGGCGAGGCTTGAGTGGCCGAATGCAAACATGGAACGAGGGGCGCAGAAGTGATGACTGGCTTTGGTGAACTATAACTCCCATCTAGACAGGGTGAATCAAAGCTTCGCGCGGAAAACATTTAAGAATTCAACCTTTGGTTTACAACGAAGGATTTTCACACTTGAAGCCTTTATTTCTGATGGAGTTTTAAAAGGCACTTCGGGGATTAGGCTACCTGCTGGATTTGTATTCTTCTTTTCGATGCGAGATTTACGCATTCATCCTCTCGAAAATGGAAAACGGAGCAACTTAAAGAGAAAATAGATATATTGTGTCATCTCGACAACTTTATAGTGTATCCACTGTATATCCATATGATATGCATTAACTAACTAAACTACGGGACTTATCGACATAACCAGCAGGGAAAAGAGAAATAAGAATCTTGAAATCCGCACTGGGTTGTGAGGTGAAATCTAATCAGATTCAGCACGGCTGATGACTAAGAAGTAATAAGGACTTGAAGAAAAGTTAGCCTACGTTTGAAAACGACAGTAAGCGGGACGTTAGAACATCCCCCTCTCTGACCGTCCATGGATGGATGATGGTCTGTCATCGAGTCAAATGACTGGTTTTTCACGATGTATCTACCTGGAAATTGACCACACGAGGTTCTCCCTGCTCTACATGTTGAATACAGGTTACTTTCTTCAGCATTGCATTTAGATCTGAGAGAAAATAAGAAAAAACATTAATACGTTGCATTTACCTAACTCATCAATTGAAGAAAACCTGGGACCACAGTGGGCATCGGGAGAGTAGTTTCAAGAATGGCACTTGTGGGTGTCTTTGTATTATGTGCGTCCTGAGAAGAAAGAGGAAATGTCGGATGCATTATCATCACTGTGAGAGTTAATAGCACGTTCATCCTGACCGATGTGTGGATTACATGCCACGTCGTTTTGAGAGTAGGAACACAATGTGTCTGACAAGAAAATATCAGCACGGATTCTGCAAAATCGCCTGAGAATTGCGGATGTTTTTTTCGATGCAGTTTTTGGGGAGGGAGCGGGAGAAGGACCGTTCTCCGTCTAAGCAGGGATCCTGCAGACATCGGCGTCTTCGTTAACAAGTAAGTTAGTGTTTGTGGTGTAAATACATGAAGGTGGACTGCCTCAATCATCCCTATAACATTACTACTCCCTTAGCCTTTTCTTCTTTTTGGATTTACAAAATGTGATAAGTGTTCTTATTTTCATGTATTTAAATATGAACTAAATCAGGACACATCATTCCCAAGGCTTTACCCTCATTGATACTGCGGCCCTGTAACTAATAGATCTCTAATCATGCGCTGATTTGAAGGATAAGGACAAGATGTGTGCGCTCGCGTCGGTCTGCTTGCGTTTCATTGCGCGCCCTTGGAGTTGAGTGCGCGAGCATCGAGCTTAGATGTCATGAATAAAACAAAAAAGCTTTTCTACATAATAGAGCAAACTGAGATATATTTGTAAAAGAAAGTTAAGTTAATGTGCGTGGTTCTTATGTTATACATTGTAACAGCCTGAGTGAGCACATGGCAATCCAGCCATCCCTCTAAACATGCCCTATAACCCTACATTCAGTATCTGGAAATCTGTCATATTTAGCACGGGTATTTTTATGCTATAGTGACTTTTGAGAAATAATTAATGGTGTTTATAAAATATTTAGTGTTTGAATTTAAAATTCAAAGGTTGCGTCTCGGGAATCTCTCACTAATGCTTAAAACGTGAAACTGGTCCTCTTTTTCCCCCTCTACTTCTTCTTTGCATGGTTTACACAGAGGGCGCTTGTTTGCTTCCTCTGTGTAAGCCTGTGAGAGAGCTGTCCTTGTTGCGTGGTGCTGAAATTAAAATCTAGCGTCCTCACTCTGCCTCTGCTCAGTTGGAGAAGACATGGTTGTTGTAGTTAATGGCTCGAATATCTGAGCCACTGGCCGCTGAATATAATCCATTCCTAGTATGCAACGAAGCAACATATGACACATTTTAGGCTTTATGCCAATGAAACGTTCAATAGGTTTTCAAGTGTCTTTTATCAATCTATCTATATTTCTATCCACCTACCCTCACTTGCATATTAGTAAAGGATTAAGAGTATTTTAGGACAATCAAGCCACTAAATTGATGTTACATTTTCCATATCATTGACGGTGAGCTTTACAAATATATGTCTGCCTTGTTGCTGATAAACTAGTGTTGGTCGTAACAGCATAAATAGAGGTGACTGTCACTCCTCAGACAAAGAATGAATTGCATCTCTCACCTGTGAAAGTGAGAAACATGGCAGACATTATTCACCCTCTGAAAGAAAAGCCCATGATGGAGTGACATCACCTTGGGGAGACAAATCAGACTGCTCGTTTTATGTTTTTGCCCTGTCAGAGGCTTTAGCATGATAAATCCCCCCCTACATATTACCAAGATTGCAGTTGTTTGTTGGCAACTGGTGCAGCATGATTCATAGTAATAAGTAGAAAGACTTTTCCTCCTCCCCATTTAACACTTCACAAACCTTCTTATCCCAGTGGAGGTCCTCTTGCAGATGGGTGTGGGCTGTAGGTTTGGGATGTCATAGGCTAAGATCGAGCAAACATAAGGAGCAAATGACTTTAAAGTGAACTGATTAACTGGGAAACTGTGTTTGTTTATTTCACTATGCTAGAGTGACAACAGCTGTTTCCCCAGTGTGTCCCTATTAGTCCTTCTAAGCAGTGAGTAATAGCCTCAGAGCAGGTTCTGCACTGGGACCGAGGGACTTCCTGTTGCTCACACAAAGCCAGTCCTCAGCTGATAATGTTGCTACCATAGATACCTGTTTCATGTCCATTTTCTCCAGCCATTGTTGTCTGTCTTATCTATTGAAAATCATTCCAAGCTGCTGTGTCAGAAAATTAATGAACTTGTCAGCTGGAAAAGGGCACGACTGCAATGAGGGGCCAGAATCTTGTGAAGCGACAGACTGTATACCCGTGTTCCCTTTCCACACTCCCTTTGTCATATGTTCCTTCCTCAGCCGGTGACTCAGTTCAGATCAGGGCCAGCACTGTGTGCCATATAATAAAATGTTCATTTCTCAAATCGGATTAATCTCTCTAAAGCCCAGCTTAGGACACCATTAGCATTCATTTCTTCACTGCTGGGGACTTGTATCAATAATGGAGCTACCCCTACATTTTTCATCTTCTTTGGGTATAAAACCTCTCAGGGGGTTTCATTCTAAGAGAAAGGAAACTGGTACAATGATCCGTTATCTACTCTCTTGCCTATTGTATTGGAGACAAGCAGTGTGATGCGGGGAGTCTGAAGTGGTGGGCCAAATAGGAGCGGGAAGCCCTAATATTGGAGGTGAAAGAGGCCTTTACTGTACGAAAATACAAATGAAGCGGGCATAATCCACATAATGGTTTACATACACCAAATTCAGAGCCCAAACAATATATGTTGGCTTTATTACAATAAGTTCTGTACGTTTCTTTATCAGAACACAATAAAATGTTCCATTTGTTGCATTTTTCTTTCCACAAAAGCTGGCAGAGCATATTTGTATTGTAAAAAAAAAAAAGAACCTTGGCAAAGGTTTCAAATATAGATCTCTTATAAAGTTCACAAAGAAAGCATTAAATGTTTCCTAATATTATCTTATTTACACCATTTTTCATAAGCCCTCAGTGGAGAACATTTGTAATGATTTTAAGGTTAGAGCAGAAAGCAGTAGTGATTTTGATTTGAAGATTTTAAAAAGTGCATCACCGGTGATTATTGCTTCTTTTATACTCAAGGCCAGGCACATGGTGATTATTCTGCATACTTTCAAAGGTAGGCAGAGAGATAGTCACCTTACAGGGATTGGCGTTTGGAAGATGCTGTCATAAGCAGGCGAATGAGCAAGCTCTAACGTGATGGTCACTGACACGTTGCTGCAAGTCTGCATCCCAGGCAGATGTTGTGAATGTGATAAAAGAAACACCTCAGTTCCTTTTAAAGTGCACTGCTGTTAAATGATGAATGCAGTGCTTTGAAGACAGTGTTGTGCTCAGATAGGTTTGCTGTTAAGAAAAGTAGCAATTTGTCACTGCTTTGTCACTGCAAGCTCTCTGTCACTATAGCATCCCTATGTAATCTTTATAGCAGAAAAAAGGGAGTTGTTCTCATCTTGCTACACCAATGTGAACAATCATCTGAACCAGAGATTGTATGTTGTTCATGCTTGTATAATATAATCTACCCTATCGAGCAGACACAAGCAAGCATCTTGGGCGCAGCACGGACACAGACAGACGTGTGCTGTAGTCCCACTCATTAGTCATCCTCTCCAGCATGTCTGGTTGAATGTTCTGTCCGGGGAAAGGACAGCTGAGCAGGGGGACGGCCGCTGCACATTCCGGCAGTCGATGGATTAATCAATTGGTGTTCCAGCTCAACCCATCCATCTCAGGGAATAATCTGGGAGACATCATAAAAGTGCCATTCTGTCATTCTAGGGGCCAGGGAGCATTGCTTCTTTCTTTTTTGTTGCCATCTCTTTCTCTCTACTACAACTCCTACAGTGGAAACAGAAGTGGATTACATGGGATATAGATAAGGGTGTTCAGTGTGGTAACATTGTGGGGTGTTCTTGGCTATTTTTGAAACGATACAGCTTGATAATTTGTTTGCTGCTGCTGTGACTCGGGGCTTAAAAGGAATTATTCCACTCCACCACTATTTCCCTGTTTCAGCTCAAAGCACTGACCTGAATTCAGGGTGCATCACTACTCACCACTTGCCTTACATCATCCACCTAGCCAGTTGTTATGATGGTGTCTTTTCAACTTAGCAATCCGCACCTTCCTCTCTGCTGCCAGTCCCTCCTTTCTTGACCTCCCTGGAATGTCACATGTTACTAAATGAAAGTGACAGCCCCCGAGGTAGGACTGGTGCGAGGGCTCTGTTAATAATTGCTTGCATTATTGTTGTACTCAAAACAGCATTCTCTCCCTCTAACAAACATACACAAATATAAACACACACATTAACAGAAACATGCACATATGCAACACAGAGGCGTCATTCTTCCTGCCCCCGGGACACGAGGCAGTGACTGTTTAAAGTGATACCGGACCCAGCCACCACATTTATTCCTGCTGCTAAATTGAAAGGTTAAATGGGCTTGGAAAGGCTGCTCACTTAATTCCTTTATTTTTCCAGATTCTGCCTTAAAGAGGTAAGATATTTAAGTCCTAAGAAAAAAATCAAAAGACATTAAAAAAGAAAATTGAAGGCAGGTTAGAAAAGGAGACCTTACTCCCAGGCGCTGTCTTCCCAATCTTTTGTTGTTGACTTTAGAGTGAGCCGAGCATGCTCGTCGCTCTGTGCTTTAAACACCCAAAGTTAAAAACATTTGAACTGGAGAGATGCCCTTCAAACTGGTTTTTAGTGGTCGCATAGCAACAGAGTCATGCCTAGCGCATCCCCTGGCAGCTTATGAGCTGCTAGCTAAAATAGATGTATTCTATTGACACTGGCCTTCAATGACAAAAACATTAAGAAACCACATTTTCAAACTGCAGACTATTTCAAAAGCCTGTTGGTCTCTTTGGTCTGCTTCAAATGATAGTGATTCTAAGTTCTAGGACCTAGGTTCATTAATGCGTTTTTTTTTCTATCCTGTGAACCAAATGACTCCCTTTTCAGCCTGAGAGGGGTTTTTGAAGACAGAGAAAATAGCTCTTTCATAGAGGATGTTAGCATGTGCACACAAGAGAATGTACTGTTTACCTTTTAACTTGAAGGGTTGTGTTGTGTTTGAGATGAAAAGAAAATACCCTGTAGCCGTAATGGATACTTGACCTGATAGAGCTGGTGGGCTTTTCCCGGGGGAGAGGAAGCTTTTCTCTAATATGGTGCTTTGTCCATAACAATGTGCTTGTTTTATCTGCAGGGGTAGTTGGAAATATGTTATATTATGATGACGTTACCTCGGGTAAAATCATCAAAATACAGAAAACCTGGAAATATGGTTTACTGTACGGCAAAGAAATATGCCGCAACCTTCCATCTGTTGCAATTGGCTTGAATCAAAATCAAGCAAAAATATAAGAGAGGAATA